TTTATAACAACATCGAATGTGCCCAACTGTATTGATAAAATATTACAATTTGAAAGTATCAATTCCTTGATTTGTACCAATTTTTCAAACGTTCCACTATTAAGTTCGTTAGCAAAATTATTTTCACTCATATCAAGACGTTTCAGAGCCTCCAACGACACACCACCTAACCAACTTGTCGGATTATAAACGTTGGTGGTGGTTATTTGTTGAATTATGACCTGATTTACTGTACTAGCTATCGGTAGTAAAAAATTCGTTCCTTGGAATGATTTCTTCTTATATTCATTGTTACGGAATTTCAGATATTTAAGTGAATTTAATCCCACAAATGTTTCTTCACTAAACTGGCTTAATGCGTTCCCACTGAAGGTGATCGTTTCCAAATTATGTACAGAAGCATGATCAAATGCCCCGTTTTCTATTTCATAGAAAGTACAACCATCAAATGTTAAGTTTCTAATCACAAAATCACCCTCTAAGTAATTTTTAGTCATTTTTCCTGAATTATAAAAGAAGCAGAAATTGAACAGAATATCGAAGTCTTCATTGCAATACGGCACAAAGCTTTGAATGTCAGTATATAATTTAGGTTCAAGATCATCCTCGCATGTTAGAACACACTTATCAAATCCAGGATGTCGAAGAGAACAACCATTTGCCCATTTTAATTGATAATTCATATTTATGCTAAAAATTATGGAACTCTTATGCATTAAAGAGGTTATTAAATTATCTCCTTAAATGTACTCACTTCGGCAGAGTAGTTTCCACAGATACACTTGTGATGGTAAATGCGCGAAAGGAACTATCAGTAGATGTTGGCATTACCTTTTCATTTAGAGTTTCATTCCTATTACTAAAATTTACATTCATCAGTACTAATAACAATATAAATCCAATTAAAGCCGGAACGACTATGTACTTCATCCAGCTATGAAATAGTTTAGGATTTATAATACAAAATATACTTTCAAGATCGGCAAATATGAAAAAAAGTACTATACATTACCGATATCTTTTTGCTGAATATAACATTTGAGATTTTTTCTTTTTAGTGTTATTATTTATATTGAACGATTTTGAATAAAACATACTTTTTTGAAATCTCTGCCTCGTTCTAACGAATCTAAATTGAACTACTTCACTTGAAGTCTTTACTAAAACTATTTTTAGTCATTTGAGTCTCAAATGCACATAATTATGATTTCATTAATTTCAATGGTTATTTATTTAATCAAATTAATCAGATAAATGCTTATCAAGTTATTACTGCAATATAAAGCTGAATAATATTAATTCATCTGATATTAAAAGCATATGAACGAAATAATTTTTAGCTAGTTTCGTATGATGGCAAAGCTTTCTACGAAGCCATAATTCCATAATTTTCTACTCTCGAATGCTTTTAAAGGTCCTATTAAAATTCTAAGAACACTTAAATAAACTGTTAGAGTCAAAACTTATCAAGCATTAATATGACGTATAAGATTGTAATGGATGCATTTATTTTTCTATTTGAGAACTGGAACTAATAATGGCACTAACGTTCACTTGAAAATTATGTATCCAATCATATCCAATCATTTCGAAATATGATAAAACTATTCTAGATTATAGAAAATTGTCAATTAATATAGAGATTATTCCATATAAATGGAATCCGTAAAATAAAATAAAACCATAAAATTTGCTACAAAATGTTTTTAGAGAAGACTCGATTCCTTTCGATTAACTTGACCTATAAATACCATCAAATACCAAATTCACTAGAAAGTTCTAGAAAGTACACTATTGTACTTTCTTTATTGTTTTTTGATAGAGAGGTTTTTCAGCAGTAGTGAATTGCAACAACAAAATTTTATTATTTTTAATTAATTAAATTTTTAACTGACCACACAGCTGTTTTGAACTATACCCATCATTAAAATCTTACAACTAAAAATAACTTTAATTAATTAATTGAATTATTCTTCAGCTAGTATATATGATCTTGTTTTAATATAAAACAAAAACATTTAGCAATTTTTGTTAAATGACCTTTCCCAACAAATTAACAAAAGACCAAGTTCGAATCAAATTCGGCTTTTGGTCATTTGGGTTAAGAGCATTGACTCTGAGCTTAAAATTTGGCAGGGTACGAGTTTAACCTTTGATACGTACAGTCTCAAAGAATTATTTACCTTAAATTTTATTTTATTAAATGTAAAAAATAATTCGAAAAAATCTGATTGCTATTTGATAATACTGGAAACAGCTGTATGATCCGCCAAAAACATAGATATATTTTAAAGAAATGTTCAAAAAAATCTATTTTTTTGATAGGTAAGAGGAAGATTTCCTGAAGACTAAACATTTGTGTCTTTAAATAAAAAATGTTTACCTTTAATATTTAAAGCTTAACCCCTTATTGCCAGACAAGCAAATTAGTCTAACTTTATTAAAAAATAATAAAAGAATATTTCGTATAATAAATCAGTCGCAATCAGTAAAAAAACATGTATTTGATACACCAAATGGATGGGCTAGAACAAATGGATGGAAGTAAGCTTGTTATCCCGAATTGGAAAGAAGCCAGAGGTAATAGACAAATTTCGAAGTGGATTATTTGAATAGCTGAAGTTAACGCCAATGATAATGATAATAAATTAATTTTATATATAATATCTGAATTAATTATTTTAAAATATATGTGGATTGTTTATTCTTACTGAAATAAGCTTTTCTATACAATTGACTGAGTTAAAAAAAATTTTTTGGTTACATAAAAAAATATTTAAAAAAGTACTTCGTAATGTTGTAAGCTCTCATATTCAGGCTTTTCTTCAAATTTTCGCTCAAAATCCTCAAGTTTAATAGTTGATTCAGTGCAAGTTGAACCATAACCTTCGCTGTTACTTTCATTTGATGGAGCAGTTGGAGCAAACTGAGAGGGAGGCATATTCTCTTCAAGTTCATCTATTTTCTTTAAACGAAAATTCTCAAAGTTTCTATAAAATTCCAAGTAATCGTAAATATTTGTTGTCAAACGTGTTTCGGTAGCGTAAGCATCACTAACAGAAGGACCCTGTTCGAGTAAATTACTGTAATATTTAGACTGCGATAATATTAAGCTTAAAATATAATATGAACATTTTACCTTAACTTATAATATATATCAGAATCATGATCTTTTGGCAAGAGTATAACATTATTTTTTGTGTTATCAAGTCTTACAAGACGTTTACTACCTTTGAGCCATGTAGGCCGATATCTCAAAAACAAATACATAACAAAAGCACCCAGAAATAGGCATATTAGTAATACTAATACAGTTGCTGAAACAAACCAAAAAATATCATCACGATTAAGCCAACCACCATATTCCGTATCCAATATCCCAGTTGTCATGTAATGAGAAAGGCAATTGAAAGGAGAAATTGTGTGTTCATCATCCGCCACTAAACAGAAAACATAACTTTTACCACTCTCCAAACCTTCAATGTGTATTCCACTTTTCAGCACAGTCTGTCGAGTAAGTAAATTAAATGCTTTTTGATCAATATTGATGGTATAATTCTTCGCTAAAAAGTACACAATTTGAAAGTCCTGCGCGTGATTACCAATTAATACCAAAACACTTGTCGACGATAGTGAACGTATTACAAAGAGTGTATCATAATTTTGGACAAATATTTGGAAGGTCTCTGCATTGGGCGCAAGAAGAATACAACTTAATTCTATTAAGTTCCTATCAAAAGGTAAAGGCGTCGTAGTTCTTGCAAAGTCATCATCAAATTCTTCAGAGTCATCAATTTCACCTTCAGAGCTTTTACTAGTATCACTCATATCGATGGTTGTGTCAGTGTTATTACCTACATTTATGGTAGTTAAGCTGGTGATTGCTGTTGTTTTAGAGCTTTCACAGTCCAAATCAATCCAATTTATGTCACAATGATACAAATTAGATGGTGTTAAACATTTTGGAGCAATTGTTGTGTTATCTTGTCTACTCTTGACATATCGTATCAATTCAACATTATCACAGGTACAATTCCAGTTATTTTCATTCAACAATATTTGGATATCATTCGTTATGGCCGATTTAAAAAAATCGCCATCTAGTGCTATTAGATCATTATTGCTCAAATCGATATGTTTTAGTGTTTGAACGATGACATCAAATGCATTTTCTGTAATCGTGTTTATGGAACAATATGATAAGTTCAGTTCCACTATTCTTATCAAACGTTCAAAAGTTTTTTTTTTTAAGCTGTCGAGAAAACAATTTCCAGTCATATTAAGATAGAGCAATGCTGAAAAATTTGAACCAGCTAACCAATTCGTAGGATCATATTTACTTAAGTAAGTATACTGTCTAATGACGACTTTGATAAGTGTATCTGACATGGGTTGCAAAAAATTTTTACCATTCAATTTGCCTTCATGCGATTCGTGATTGTTCATCTCAAAGTATTTGATACTGTCCAGACCAGCAAAACTATTTTTATCTAAATCGACAAAGGCACTGCCTCCAAACACAAGTAATGTCAAATTATGCGTAGAATCATGGTCAAAAGCGCCTTTTTTTATTTCTATTAACGAGCTTTCCATAAACATCAATTGCTTTATTTTAAAATCCCCCTCAAAGAAATCTGATGCCAGAGTGTCTACGTACATATTCAGGTATATGTAAAGTCCATTGACGCAGGTCAGGTTAAGCGGACCTAAATAATCTTTTAACTTCTTGTAGCTGAAAAAAGTACAGGATATCGTGCAATTCGTATGGGCAATTACATCGCAATCATTGTATCTGAAAATAGGTATAGGTATATAAATTTATTTATGGTAGAAAAATAAATAATTATTATTTATTTATTATATACTATATATTTATTATTAGCAAGATATTAGGTATCAAGCATTAAATATCCCTGTTCATAAAGAAATTGTTCATAATAAAAATGTTGTTTTTTCTTACTCTATATTGTAAGTTTATACAGATCTTTGCAATGCATTAAAAGAAATGTTAGAGACCATAAGAACTATATACAATATGAACGTAAACACTACGATTAGGCAAATTTATTCAGCAATCAGTATCTGCGTGTCTATTCATCAGATCATTCATCGGCTTATTTACTTCGTTTTCTGACTGATTCTCTGGCTATTGGTATGTCTGACAGATTTTTTGTCTGTCTGCCTGACTTTCTTCTAACTTCTTCTAATTGGTTGATAGAATTAATAGAACTTAGGAAAACTTAGTGATAGTGATAGTGTGTTAATTATCACTAATATAACTAATCCAAAAAATACAATCGGGAATTATAGTAATTTCTACAGAAATTTTGTATTTTATCGTAAAATTTATTAAATCATTTTTATAACTTATTTATATATCGTATGGGACTGTGCATAAAAGAAACAGAAATAAATAGTTATATAAAACAAAGTTAGAAATTTAATATATTCAACCAGGGTATTCCATCACAAGTCATACTATATAGGTCGGGTATCACTCTCTTGTAAAAAAGCTTTGAGCTAAAATGGAACCAACAATCTCTTGCAACTACTTATATAAATTGTAATCCTTATTTCAAAACATATTTACTTTCATAATTTCAAATCAAATTTTCCCAAAACTAATTAATTCTATATTTACTATTACCAATATTTTAACAATTCAGTCAGTCTGTGCGCGTAATTGTATCCAAAACAAAATAAAGAATATCCGTATGAAAAGTGATAAGCTGATTACAAATAAT